TATAGATGCAGACTCACTAATCACTCTACCCTTTTAACCCAAGTAATCTTTGACTTCATCAGATTAACATTTGACTTCATCAAATCAACAAGATCTTCGTTTTATGATTCAATAAGATCTTCATCACTTTCAAGATCTTCATCCTTATCTTCCAAAATGGATAATCTCTACCACAAAACACTGGAGGTCTATTAATAGAAGCACCCTCGAGAAAAGGAAATTTGTTTTCAGCCTTGAAAGATTTGGACCGAAAGTCTTGAGTATTTTTCAAGAACCTTGCTCGATACCAATTGTCGAAAAAAGAGGTTGAGATCAAGAGGGGGAGGGTGAATTGATCTTTGAAAGATTTTCGCAATTTACAGATTATCTATTTCAAAGATTAAGAGTTCTAACCAATTATTGAATCAAGAAAAACAAGCAATTAAAATAAAGGCAGTAGAAGAATTAAAGAGAGTAAGGTTTAGAGAAATACAACCAAGATTTATATTGGTTCACCCAATCCAAAGGCTACTTCTAGTTCTCAGCCAAATTCTAGCTGAGTTCCACTAGATTGAATGTTTTACAGATTCATGATTCCAATCACACACCCAATCTACCACAAGAACCAAAATTCCAGTTCTTGCACTTAAACCTTCACCAATAACCAACTTCTAGTTCTTGAACCAACCTGCAGACCAACTTCCAACCACAAAAACCGTGCTTAATAATTCCAGGCACTCACAGGTACAACAAAGATTGAAACAAAACGAAAGTGAAGAAACCAAAACAATCTAACCCCGATTATGCAGTCCCTGCAGTATGAGTTTCTTCACAAAAAAATGCAAAAATGCCTCAAGAAATAACTTTCCAAAACACCACAAAAATTGCACGATTCTTTCTTGAAAAACTTCACTTATGATTGCTTGACTCGATTGCTCAAAGGTATATTTTAAAAGACTGAAGCAATCCTTTGGTTTAAATAATATGTTAAAACAATCTTTTAATCTGTTAAATGTCTTGAATTAATCTATTAAAACTTCTTTTAATTTGTTAAAATGTTCTTGACTATTTTCCAGATTTGTTTTAACTGATACGACAACGTTTCAATCGATCAAAACACTTTGTAAAAAATCCCTTAAGTTGTTTTAATCGATTAATTCGCAATTTAATCGATTACAATTTTTTCCAAATATTTTCATAAAACTTTCTAAGTGAGTTTAACTGATAATAGCAAGTTTTAATTGATTAAAACAATTAGCAGTAAATTCCCTTAAATTGTTTTAATCGATTAATTTGATTTTACATCGATTAAAATACTGACAGAACATCTTTCAAAACACTTCAAGTAATTTTAATCGATTATTTCGAGTTTGTATCGATTAAAATACTGCCAGAACACTTTCCAAAACATTTTAATCGATTATTTTGAAACTATTTCAGTTAAAACACTGACAGAAGGTTTTCAAAAACTCCTTTAATGAATATAATCGATTAATTCGAAAGTGTATCGATTAAAACAATTCGAGTGAATGTTTTTAAAAGTTTTAATCAATTATTTCGAAAACCTATCGGTTAAAAATCTGTTATGTAAGTTTTAAGAACATTTTAATTGATAAAGCTCATATAATATCAGCTTAAAACAATTTGCTAAAAACAATTTAACCGATTACTTTGGTTTTTAATGGATTAAAAACATCTTTAGAGTCATTTTCAAATTCTTTCAAATGATAAAACCTCATGCAGTAGAGAGATATGAATGATTATACCTATGTATAGATGCAGACTCACTAATCACTCTACCCTTTTAACCCAAGTAATCTTTGACTTCATCAGATTAACATTTGACTTCATCAAATCAACAAGATCTTCGTTTTATGATTCAATAAGATCTTCATCACTTTCAAGATCTTCATCCTTATCTTCCAAAATGGATAATCTCTACCACAAAACACTGGAGGTCTATTAATAGAAGCACCCTCAGAAAAAGGAAATTTGTTTTCAGCCTTGAAAGATTTGGACCGAAAGTCTTGAGTATTTTTCAAGAACCTTGCTCTGATACCAATTGTCAGAAAAAGAGGTTGAGATCAAGAGGGGGGAGGGTGAATTGATCTTTGAAAGATTTTCGCAATTTACAGATTATCTATTTCAAAGATTAAGAGTTCTAACCAATTATTGAATCAAGAAAAACAAGCAATTAAAATAAAGGCAGTAGTAGAATTAAAGAGAGTAAGGTTTAGAGAAATACAACCAAGATTTATATTGGTTCACCCAATCCAAAGGCTACTTCCAGTTCTCAGCCAAATTCTAGCTGAGTTCCACTAGATTGAATGTTTTACAGATTACAGATTCCAATCTACCACAAGAACCAAAATTTCAGTCCTTACACCTAAACCTTCACCAAGAACCAACTTCCAGTTCTTGAACCAACCTGCAGCCAAATTCCAACCACAAAAACCGTGCCCAACAATTGCAGGCACTCACACTACAACAAAGAATGATGAAAACGAAAAAGAAGAAACCAGAACAATCTAACCCAGATTATGCAGTCCCTACAGTATGAATTTCTTCACAAAAAATGCAAAAATGTCTCAAGAAAGAACTTTGAAAAAACACCTCAAAACTTGCGCGATTCTTTCTCAAAAAACTTCAATTATGATTGCTTGATTGATTGCTCAAAGGTATATTTTAAAAGACTGAAGCAATCCTATTTATATAGAGATTTGTTCTAACTACTAGTTTAATTAATTTGTTAAAACAATCTTTTAATTTGTTAAAAGTCTTGAATTAATCTGTTAAAACTTCTTTTAATCTGTTAAAATGTTCTTGATTATTTTCCAGATTTGTTTTAACTAATATGACAACGTTTCAATCGATTAAAACACTTTGTAAAAAATCCCTTAAGTTGTTTTAATCGATTAATTTGCTATTTAATCGATTAAAATTTTGCCAAACATTTTGATAAAACTTTCTAAGTGATTTTAACTGATAACAACCAATTTTAATCGATTAAAACAGTTAGTAGAAATTCCCTGAAATTGTTTTAATCGATTAATTTGATTTTACATCTATTAAAATTCTGACAGAACACCTTTCAAAATATTTCAAGTTGTTTTAATCGATTAATTCTTACATCGATTGAAATACTGTCAGAACATCTTTCAAACCACTTCAAGTTATTTTAATCGATTGTTTCGAGTTTATATCAATTAAAATACTGCCAGAACACTTTCCAAAACATTTTAATTGATTTTAATCGATTATTTCAAAATTATATAAGTTAAAACACTGATAGAAGGTTTTCAAAAACTCCTTTAATGAAAATAATCGATTAATTCGAAAGTGTATCGATTAAAACAGTTCTAGTGAATGTTTTAATCAATTATTTCGAAAACCTATCAGTTACAAATCTGTTATGTAAGTTTTAAGAACATTTTAATTGATAAAGCTCATATAATATCAGTTAAAACAATTTGCTAAAAACAATTTAATCGGTTACTTTGGTTTTTAATGGATCAAAAACATCTTTAGATGCATTTTCAAATTCTTTCAAATGATGAAACCTCATGCAGCAGAGAGATATGAATGATTATACCTATGTATAGATGCGGACTCGCTAATCACTCTACCCTTATAACCCAAGTAACCGTTGACTTCATCATATTAGCTTTTGACTTCATCAAATCAATAAGATCTTTGTTTTATTAAATGATTCAATAAGATCTTCATCACTTTCACTTGTGAATTCAATTATAAATATTGTTTTTATTTATTTTTCATTCACATTTGTATACATTATTGTTTTGTTTAGTGAAATAACATGATGTGTCTTTGAAAGGAAATTAAGATACCGATTACAATTTTAATTAAAGCTAAGTTGGATGATTTGTGATACATTCAAGGAATCTTGTTATTGGATAACTTGCAAGCTATGACCCAATCTTCTAACTCAATAGAATGTAGAAATATGACTTGATAATTTCAATGTATAGGGTGCATTGAAAGTTTAACATTTAATTTTCAAGTCATCACACAAGTCAAGTGGGAGAATAATAAATTATTTTAATTTAATATTGGTTCATGTAATTTCTAGAATGACTTTAATGTAAAGGATTCTAATGTGATGATTGAAAGATTATAAATATGTTTTGTGGAAATTATTTTAGAGATATTAAAATAATTTCCCTCTCTTCTCACTTCATTAAGGATATTATAATCTTTTAGTAAATATTTTAAATGTTAACATTTTGAGGGAGTTATGCTAAATAGATTTTTTTCTCCAAGAATTACATTCTTCTAAGAAAAGCCTTGATAAAGCAAGAATCAACGCACATTCTATATCATAAAGAAAGTCATTAATGGAATTAAAAGAAGGGAAGAATCTATTAAAGATTTTCTTGAAACATTTCATAATTGATCTAGATAAGTTCTCACTACTAAAAAAATCCTTGAATTCATATGATTTTTTCAGCAATTTTTTTTTGGCAAAAAATATTTACAATTTTTTCTAAAAATAATTTCACAAACTTTTATTAAAAATTTATTTTCAAAATATTTTTTTCAGAAAATATATAAGATTTGTTTTTCCAAAAATTAATGGCAAGAAGTTCCTGCAAAATTTTCTTCAATTATATAATTATAATAATTTTTTTTTTGCAAATATACATTTGTGAAAATATTTGGCAGGAATAAAAATCCTTTCCTACATTTTTTTATAAATAAATTTTGTGAAAGAAGATTTAATAATTTTTTTAAAAATGGAAGAAAAATTTAAAAATAATATTTTTTGCAAAATTTTTTATTTTTTTTGTACAAAAATAATAGAATAATTTTTAATTAATTACTTTTAAAATAATTAAAAATAATTATAATTGTAAGAAGTTATTAAAATATAAAATTAAAAACAAAAAGCTTAGAAGTTTTTCTTTTTCGCGCTCCACCGTACAAGTTTCTTCTTCCTTCGACCCTAGTCGTTAAGGTTTCTTCTTCCTCCGCTTTGTCGTTCCTTCCAACCCTAATAATCGTCACTTGAATTGTTGATCCAACAAGAGGAGGTTATCGCTTGAATTGCAGTGGCTTCCCACTCTTGCTCCTATCCTACCTCCCTCTCCAACCGTTGCCTTTCTCGATGCATTCTGCTCTTGCTCTTTCGGTCACTGCAAATCGGAGTTGAACTCGTTAGTTAAATTGGAGTTGAAAATGATTTGAGTGTTTTTTCCCAAATGTGAGTACTAAATGCTTTACTCGGATTAGTTCATATGTTTTACTAATTATTCAATTTTAATTGAAAAAAAAAGAATAAACTAGTTTTGCTTGGTTAATTAATTTATAGAGGTAACTTGTAGACATAGGGAGGCTTGTAAACATAATGTGGTGATGGAGGTGATTTGTAGATATAGGCGTTTGGTAATCCAAGTGTGATTCTAAGTCCCACATTGTTAAGAATGAGAAAGTTGAATAACATATAAGAAAGTATGACCTATAACCCGATGTCTTAAGGTTTTGGTTGAAGGTGATATCAATCCCTTATGTGGGTTGGACTCATATCTCGTTGGTGTTATCTCATCAGAGTCAAAGGTTGATTGGCAGTGTAAGTGTGATATTTGTATTAAAAGTCTTCTTGGAAGTGGGTTAGCTAAGCGTGTTCCATTATGATGAATGACGGTACATGAAAGGGCCACTAGTGAGCTCGAGGGGATGTATCAATGTGAAGGGACTCACACTTGAGGGGGAGATTGTTGTGTAATCCAAGTGTGAATCTATGTCCCCCATTGAGCAAGAATGAGAAAATTGAACAATATATAAAGAAGAAAGACCTAATAGTGGTATCAGAGTCAAAGGTTGATTGACAGTTTAAGAGTGGTCTTTGTATCAAAAGTTTTCCTGACAGTAGGTTAGATAAGCGTATCTTGTTATGATGAATGTTGATCGACAGTTTAAGAGTGGTTTTTGTATCAAAAGTCTTCCTAACAGTGGGTCAAGTAAACGTGTCCCGTTATGATGAATGATGGTACATGAAAGGGCCACTAGTGAGCAGAGGGATGTACCAATATGTAGGGACTTACACTTGAGGGGGAGATTGTTGGGTAATCCAAGTGTGAGTCTAAGTCTCACATTGAGTAAGAATGAGAAAGTTAAACAACATATAAGGAAGTATGACCCATAACCCAATGCCTTAAGTTTTTTGGTTGAAGGTGGTGTAAATCTCTTATGTGGATTGGACTCATGTTTTGTTAGTGTTACTTCTCCCTATTGAATCCCCCTTGAAAGATCCAACAATAGGGAGGTTATGAAGAACACTAGTGCATAGATGAGTAGAGGCAGGTGCCTCACCTCACCTAAGGTTCCTATATTGTGCTTCTTGTCTGTTCTTCACAGAATAGACTTATGATTTGTACCTTTCTTAGTAGGAAAAATAAGGATTGTAGTCCTTTATGTGGTGCTAGCAACTTCTATCATAACTAATATGATTTATTTATTAAATGCATTAATTGTTTTATAATGTATTAGACTAGATTTAAAGCTTGATGCACTCGTACCTTTGGTTTTCATCGTTTTTTATTTCAAATTGAACTCAACAAAGTTTATAAGTTTTTATCTTGATGCACCCGTACCTTTTGTTTTCATCATTTTTATTTCAAATTGAACTCAACAAAGTCTGCAAGTTTAATAAAGTTGATGTTATAATGGAATCGCTAAACCTACTTAATTATATAATCTGTCTTTTCCTTGTAATATAACTTTAGTTCTTTATTCCAAAATGTCCATGTTCTAAGATTGTAAAACACTAAAATCTTATGAGCGAATAATCAAAAGTTATTATTGGTGCTATTTAGTGACCAATTTGTCTATATATAAATAGAGAAATTGTAGATTTGTGCTCACACATGTTGTCACTTAGCCTACCACTTTGGGAGGGTATGACATACTCGTTGATGTAAATGTTGAGGTGTTCACTCTAGCCATTGATGAGGACCCAAATTTTGATCCAACCTTGTGAAGTTTGACCCTGACAGGTTCATCTCTGGGAGAGAGGAGGTAGACATAACTAGGGTCATAGGACTGAAGAAGATCCCATTTAGGGCGAGAAGAAGGATATGCCCTTGGATTGGGAATGGCCATGGTGCATATTCACCTCATGATGGCTAGGATGGTGCAGGAGTTTGAGTGGGGTGCTTACCCTCCAATGAAGAAGTTGGAATTCAGTGGCAAGTTGGAGTTCATTGTGGTCATGAAGGAATTGTTAGAATCGCGCAGCGGAATGTTTGCGTTCAAGGACAAAAACTAAGAGGGGGGGGGGGTGAATTGGTTTCTTAAAAAAAATTAGGGTTTTAAAAATTTTCCCCAAATTTTACCAATTAAAATGCTTGTAATGTAAAGAGATAAGGGAAAGAAGATTACACAGTTGATTTATACTGGTTCGGATCAAAAGACCCTACGTCTAGTTGTTAATCACTCTAAAAGAGGATTAACGCTGTCACTATAATCACAAGTTACAACAGAATACAAATTGAAAAAGATAAGGATTAGAAAACACCTCTCTTGAGTCACACAAGAGATGAACACCTCCTTTGAATCCACAAAGGATGAACAACAACTTTTCCTAGAGACGGCACAACACACAATCCACCAAGAAACTCACTCAGTGATTCTTATCGCTTCTATCCCACACTAGGTTTTCAAAAGCCCCTTTTTCTTCCCTACAGAAAGTCCTATAGCAATCACAACTCTTAACTTTTGTATGAAAAAGGATTGTTCTTTTGCAGAGAGCCTTAGAGAACCTTAAGTAGAGAGAATAGGGTCTGGGAAGAATTGGGAATAGGGTTTTCATAAATTGGTCAAAATTTGAATTTCAAAACTCATAACAGACGTAGATAATTGATTATCTTGAGTGATAATCGATTATTACATAGCCATTTTCACAGAGGAGTAAAACAGGACCAGGATAATCCATTATTTGTGTAAATAATTGATTATCTAGCTGGGATAATCAATTATCCTTAGTGATAATCGATTATCACAACAAGGTTTTCAGAAAAACAATTTTTAGTGTTGGATAATCGATTATCCTAAGTTATAATGATTATCATAAAGTGGATTTGATAAAAATGAGTTTTCAGATGATGGACTATGTGCTGACTATCTTGTACTCTAATTATACAGACTAAAAAACATAGTTATTACAAGTAAATACACATTATTATAAGCCTTTAAGTATTTAAGTCATTTGTTCTTGAATCATCATCAAAATCTTCAAGCTTCATATCCTTGTATGTTCAACAATCTCCCCTTTTTTGACGATGATCAAAATTTTCTTTAAAGCCCTTTGTAATAATCTGTTTTTACTGTCACAATTAACAAACCTATTAAACATACCAGGCAACATTATGATTGTTAAACATATCAGGCTTTAAAATATTTTCTCCCCCTATTTTGATTATTATCAAAAGAAATAAAAAGCTCCCCCTCAACATGTGCATTAAATAGAAAAGTAAATAACTCCTCCTTAAACAATGCAAACATAGAATTTTATTCAATGATTCAATGTAATACAAACAAGAAGAAAGAAATAAAAAAAATTTAAAACTCTTCACTCTCATCACTGTTGAATTGGGTGTCAAATCTATCTTCTAAGTTACACACACGATCATCTACATCCGAGATTCGTCTTATGATTTCTTGATGCCTTGAGATATAGAGAATAATTCCTGCATTCTCTGATTCATATCGAATAGCATGTCTTCCATGGAAGGACAGGATGTAGAATGAGCAGCAGAAGATGTTCGAGCAACATGAACATTATCAGCAGGCATATCAGCAACAGGCATGTCCTCATCATCAGAATCTTGAGCAACGTCAGCCATGTAAGGAACATCATCTTTATGAACATAAACTCTGTTTACATTCACCATCTGCATCTGAGTAAGCGTGCTGTCAAACATTCTATTTAAATTTAGTGTCCAGGCCTGTTGTTCCCCTTCAACATTTACACCTTTGTATTCAAGAATCCTAGAGATGAGAAGAGCGTAAGGAATCTTGAAGGTGTGGTGACGCTTCACCTTGAACATTGTTAATGTGACAAGGCTTGACCAATCAATTGGCTCGTTATTCATGATGGCATGGATGATGGGAAGGTCAACAGAAGAACATTGTGCATGGTTGGTCACTCGAGGACATAGAATCCATACAAGAAGATGCAGCAACATGCGTTCTTCTTTCTTCAAAGGACTGGCCAAAAGTTGTCTGCCAATTTCCATGGCAGGATTGCGAAGAAAAGAACGGTATGCCAGAATGCAATTAAAATCCTCTAAATCAGCAAGGACATTTACAACATCATCTCTTATAGGAAAATGAGCAACATTTTCCCAAATATCATCATCAAGGATGATGGTTACACCCTTGACTCTAGAAGTAGCAATATGATCCCTATATTTGAAGCGAGAATAGAAAACCCGAACTAAATCCGGATAGTATGTAGCTTGCATCTCGATAAAAGGAAGAACACCTTGTTGCTCAAGAAGATTGGAAAAGTGGAATCCCCTGTTTATGAATTGCTCTCCAAGAAGAAATATAGGAGTAATAATACCCCTTTCTTTCTAGAAATTCAGAAATTCCTGTCTTCCGTCATCATCAGAAATCCACCCTTCAAGAGAATTAGGGTGGGGATGAGAAGCAGGAGCGAATCTTCTCCTTGTTGGAATCTTTCTTCGGGAAGATGAAGCCATTTAAAATGAAATGAGAGGAAAATGAAAGATAAGGAGTTTTGAAGAGAAGCAAAGCTTTGAGGAGGACAACAACACAAGAATAAGATGTAGAATCTATGTAAGAACTCTTGAAGAGAAGTTTGGAAGTGTTTTAATTTGATTTTGAGCCCTCCTATATATAGAAAATGATCCCAACGACCATAAATGACTAGTTTGACAAGAATTAAAGTAAAAAGAGCCGTTACAAACGACTAGATTATCTCCAACGTCGCAGGATAATCAATTATCACCCCCTGATAATCAATTATTTCTTCATCCCTACCTAGAAAGTGCATGGATAATTGATTATCAATTGCGATAATCGATTATTCCAGAGAGAAATTACTGATTTGGGTCAATGAAGTACAAATAATCGATTATTACCCCAAATAATCGGTTATTATAGAAAGATTTTTCATGAACCACTCATTTAAGCCTTAATAATCGATTATTACTCAAGATAATCGATTATTCCAGAGAAATTGACAAATATAGCATGTATTAGACACAGGATAATCGATTATTACCCTATATAATCGATTATTCCAGTACAAAATGCAAGGATTTTTTAGTTAAGTAGAGTTTAGACTATTTCTAATATTCCTAAGTCTCTTCTAAGATCATAGAATCTATCCTTGGGAAGAGGTTTGGTAAATATGTCTTCTAGCTGATGTTTTGTGTCTATATACTCAATCTTACAACTTCCTTTAGAAATGTGATCTCTTAGAAAGTGATGCCTAATCTTAATGTGTTTGGTTCTAGAATGCATGACAGGATTCTTTGTGAGATTAATTGCACTTGTATTATCACACATTAAAGGAATATCACTTAGAAAAATACTATAATCTTGTAGTTGTTGCTTCATCCATAGAATTTGAGCACAACAATTGTCAGCTGCAATATATTCAGCCTCAGTTGTGGATAAAGCAACACATGCTTGTTTCTTAGAATGCCAAGATATTAAGGATGATCCTAACAGATGACATATTCCACTAGTACTTTTTCTATCTATTTTACATCCTCCATAATCAGCATCAGAATAACCTATTAAATCAGGAGAAGATTCAGATGGATACCATAATCCAAATCTTGTAGTTCCTTTTAAATATTTTAAAATTCGTTTTTCTGCTGTTAAATGAGATTCTTTTGGACATCTTTGAAATCTAGCACACACACAAACATAATGCATAATATCAGGTCTACTTGCAGTTAAGTATAATAGAGAACCTATCATACCTCTATACATTGATTGATTAATTTTTAAACCTGATTCATCTTTATCCAAATAGCATGATGTTCCCATGGGTGTGTTAGTTTCCTTTGAAGTGTCCATTCCAAATTTCTTGAGAATCTCTTTGCAATATTTGGTTTGGGATATAAACGTGCCATCTTTAAGTTGCTTAATTTGAAATCCAAGAAAGAAGGTTAATTCTCCCATCATTGACATTTCAAATTCACCCTGCATTATCTTAGCAAATCCTTGCAATAGGAGCATAGCTTTCATCATAATCAATACCTTCCTCTTGACAATATCCTTTGGCAACATGTCTGGCTTTGTTCTTTGTTATATTTCCATCTTCATCAAGTTTGTTTCTAAATACCCATTTTGTTCCAATAACTTGATGAGATTCTTCTCTTGGAATTAATTCCCAGACTTGGTTTCTTTCAAATTGATTTAGTTCTTCTTGCATTGCAATGCACCATTGGTCATCTTTGAGAGCTTCCTCAACACTTTTGGGTTAAATATGTGAAACAAAAGCTATAGACATACAAAAATTTGTGTTATTTCTAGTTCTTACCCCTTTTGAAATATCACTAATTATATTATCCATTGAAAGTCCTCTAGGTGATTGCCACTCTTTTGTCAATTCGGTTGGTTGAGATGACTCATTCTCATTTAAGTACATTTCTTCTAGAGCTTCTCTTATGTACTCATCATCACCTGCATATTCTTTATTTGACTTAAGAGGATTTCCCTCAAGGTCTACAATTTCATCAAAGGTAACATGTATAGATTCTTCAATATTCAAGGTTCTTCTATTGAATACTCTATATGCTTTGCTAGACAGTGAATAACCTAAGAAAATGGCCTCATCGGCTTTTGAGTCAAATTTTCCTAAGTTATCTTTTCCATTATTTAAAACAAAGCATTTACATCCAAATATTTTTAAATGAGAAACATTAGACTTCCTTCCATTTAACAATTCATAAGGAGTTAATTTTATGATTGGCCTAATAAGCATCCTATTCAATACATAACATGCAGTACTTACAACATCAACCCAAAAATATTTAGGAACATTTGATTCATTTAACATTGTTCTAGAAAGTTCCTCTAGTGACCTATTTTTCCTTTCTACTACACCATTTTGTTGGGGA